CCAAGTTTGAAGAACACTGCTCCAATATTTCTAGAGATATTCTTGATTCAGTGTTTTACTGTTCAAATGGAACCAGCTATGACGTCATCACTTTCCTCATTTGCATAACACAAAAACGTAAATATCTCTAGAACGAAAAAAGATATTGCAAAAAGGGAAACACCATTCTTCTTTACTTTGAAAAGCCTTTCAAATAAGCATCACTTATTTTTTACTTCATAGGCACTTTAAGCTAGCGTGACAAGCTCACCCTTTTCTTTTTACATTGGTAAGAGTCCCAAAGTCATTGAAAGATTAATTATTGAACTAATATCTAGACTCATTTAGCGTGCCAAGTGAAATTCAAAAATTCATTCTCTTCCCATCCCTTCCCATGGTGTGACATTTTTCATGTAACAAACACTTCACAGGACCAAAACTGTGAAGTGAAACAGAACAGAAATATTTTCTCGTGGTCAGCAGAGCGGTAAGTTCTTTTTCATTAAGTGACGCAGCTGGAATTAAGAAAATTTGAAAACAATCATTGAGGAGAAGTTTGGTGCTAATTCGAGTAGCGATTCCCAAGAAAAGTCTTGATTAATCAAAATAACAGTATCAGAATGACTAACTGACAAATCTGATCAACGATGTTAGCCAAAGAAGTGCGGTTTCTAATTTTCATGTTAATTTTATACGGCTCAATTTTTCTTCACTGTACTGGAACAAACCGTTGACTAGTAAGCAGCAATAAGAGTAAATAAATAAGAATAACCCTGATTTCATAACAGTTCAAATTGCAAAAACAAATACATACAAAGTTAATACTATACAAAGTCCTAACTGCTGATACGAAGCTGTATTGGCTTTAGTGCAGTATACTTACCATAAACTGACAAATGAAAGTGTTTTTTTACCCGTCAAACCTACGCTTTTGGAACAGTTGACTAGTCAATCACATTTAAAGTACAAAAAAGTTTTGACTGCCGTTCATTTAGTCTACATTATAAATCCCGGTATACCGGGTGCTGGGCTCACCAAAATTCACACTACAGTGGAAATAGTGAAGTATTCAGCCACATATATAAACAAGGATTTGATATTATTAACTGAAATTTTAAAAAAATAATTTTGACTGCCAGACACGGAGTATTTTGAAAAACTTGTCCGGCTGTCGGAGATATAGACGCAGCGTTTTAAAATTGTTAAGTTCTCAGTACGAATTTTATGACTAATGACAACACACTTCATTATGGATGCAACGACAAATTAATATGCTAAGTTATTCGAATTTATAGAACACATCAAGTACTGAGTGTCTGGTATCTTATAACTGACTCGGTTAAAGAACTCTCAGATCTTAACAGAACGCACCATAACAATTAATGAAATGATTTTGAAAGGACTGACTTGCATCGAGCAAAGATCGTGAACAGATTCCAAGAATGCTGGTAATGTGCAGATTGAATGACGAAACTTTGATCAAAAATGATTTTAAGGCCAGTTCAGACGTCGCGCTACTGCCGTACCGAACTAAATTGCAATTAGGACTGACAGCACCACGGCAGGTAAACAACTCTTATTCAGACGTTGTCCCAGAATCGAACCAAAATCAGGATTTACTGAGACTTCGTAACAATTCTCCTCCTACCTCCCCTTGGGAACGCAATCCCGCCAAAATACGTTAATATAATTTATGAATTTTGTTTGGCGCGACGTTTGAATCGCTCCCGTGCCAGAGTGTCCAGAGTCGTGTAGCACGGCAGAGTTTGTCAAACTTAATTACTTGTAAACTTAATTCAAAAGTTTGATTCAGACGCCGTGCTTCCGCCATCTTTTTGTCGAACTTTATTCCTGAATTTAGTTCGGCACGGCAGAAGTACGACGTCTGATCTTCCGGTGAAACTGACATGCCAGAGACTCAACCGAATCATTCTAATGTTCTTTTCAATGATAACGCATAAGAAAATTCAGCTTAACAATCTTGTACACGCACTTTTAAGGATGAACTTTTCAATGAACAGTACTTACATCTTACATTCCTTGCAGGTCACCAGATTTAGGTATCAGAGAGCTAGGAAGTTCGCTTCCATCGTAAAACCCCTGCTTAATTTCAGCACATTTTGATATGCTAGTGTCCAAGCTCCCCAGCATGGCACCATTCTCGTCCCCAGTGTCGCTTGTCCCCCTTAGCCGGCAGGGCCTCGGCGCAAGGAAAAGGTAGCTCTGGAGACACATAATTTGATGGGCTAACTTCTTGGACTAAGATTTTCACTAACTATACGCTGGTTTCATTTCTGAAAATATCGGCGGTTTCGTCTCTCTACTGGCTTATAGGGACAGGAGGCTCTGGTAACGAGAAACGCATGGCACAAAATTACAGGGTGCTTTCCATTGTGTCAGACCGACCAGTCAGAGACCAGCGGGATTAAGCGAGGAAAAGAGAACGATATTTTTCAGTCAAACCTGGTCAACTGAAAGGAATGGCTCTTACCATTTTCTATTCGTTTCCCCAATCCCCCACATAAATTAAAATCTACTGAAGAGAAGCATTTGTCAAACTGGAACGACAAATTTCGGTCCGACTGGTAGACCACCTCGCGAATATTCCCGTCGGACCGACCCAAAACGGACCTTTCCATTTGGCTTTCGACCAAAATTTCCGGAATTTTTGACACAATGGAAGCACCCGTCCCCACAGACTCCTACACAAACAAGATCCACGTAAAGATATTATCCGTTCGCACTTTTTTATTATGTTAAATATTCAAGGCTTACAAAAGAGTTCAAAATTAAAGCAGTAAAAACCAAACATTTAATGTATACGTTACAGATTCTGTTTCCTACTTAATGTTGATTTATTTCTTACTGTTATTGCTCTGATTGCATAAAGCTAGACTATTTTGCCAAGATGTTGTATTAGTCTTACTCGATTTATCAGCGGCCTTTGATACTATTGATCATACGATCTTGGTGGAAAGACTTGAGTCTTACTTTGGTTTCTCAAAATTGACACTGTGCTGATTCAGATCTTATCTTGAAAACCGTCGGCAATCAATAATCACTGGAAATCAATTGTCCACTCCTGGTGCTCTGCGTTATGGTGTCCCACAAGGGTCTATACTTGGACCATTACTTTTCACCCTGTAAATCGCCCCTCTTCAAGATGTAATTGCTCGCCATAATTTGAATTCTTTGTTTTATGCAGATGACACTCAAC